GACCAGGTGAGACCCCGAGGCCGCGGGGGGGAGCTGTGTCCCGCCGGGCGGCGCCGGGAGACCCGCTAGTGCGGGGCGTCTTGTCTGCAGCCGTCGCGGTTATGGGGAGGAAGGGTCGTCACCTCGGAGCCGCCGCACGCTTGCGGTAGGACGGGCTTTGCTCCTTACCTGCAGTCGGTACGGGAAAGCTTGATTGGTGTAATTAAACATGTTGCCCGCATGTGGGATTTCGATGGGTCGCTGTTCTGATACAGTCATTCAAGTGGTTCTTTTTTCTCTGAAGAGAGGGAAAAAATTAAGTAACTTTAACTGTTAATGTTTTGCTATTTTAAGAGAAAGGCTACATAACGATTCCCAAGTAGCAGTTAATCCTGTGTTTTCAGAGACCTGGGAAAGGTATTTTATGGGAAACTGGAAAGGTTAACTGCTGCAGTAACAGTCAGGGTCTCATGTTAGAGCGTGAGTTCATGGGCAATTCTTCAGTCATAGCTGTCAATAGCGAGGTGCAGTTGCAACTTGTAGTTCTGAGGAAACTCTTTATTTACGTGAAACTACTAAAGTATTTCTAGGAGTACTAGTTTGAGTTATCCTGGTTGTTTTCTGGTTTCATTGTCAGGAATTCTTGGTTTTTTTGACAGGCCATATTTTTGGAAACTCGCGTATTTGGCAGCAGTATCAGTCGTACAATCAGAACATGCCTTCCTTCAGCAATCTCATCAAGCAGGCGTTTCCAGCAGTTATATACAGTCATAAGGAAGTATCAGGTCAAGGTACATTAAACTTACTTCACTTTTTTACTAATTTTGTTCACTGAGACTTGTATAGATGCATATAGTTACTCAGATGTGCGCTTTTTCTTTTGTCGGTAGCTCAGAATATTACTAGCTACATGATGTAGCTGCTACATTCTTTGTTGGCCTTTGTGCCACTCTAAAATATACTGGGTACAGGCTGTATCTTGGAGGCGTTTTGGAAACAGTCTGTTAAAACCGGTGTAGGCCTCTTTGGACTTTGAACTTGAGAACAGCATTGAAAAGTTAGGTTAACCTAACTGTGTTATATTTAATTATATTAACATTAAATTATTTAATGACTTTGATTGTAAGAACTGAGGGCTTTGATTTTGCTTCTCAAAATAAATAAAAGGTATTCTGATTTTTAGGTCGTATCTGTTTGCCAAAAAAAGCAATATGGATCTACTCGAAGTGTTGTCCGTAGACTTGGGACAATTCTTTCCTTAGAGCCTTACCCAAGACCTTATTTTCAAGTGAGTGATTCATTGTTATACATATGCTTCAACTATTTAAGTTTTCTAGCTTCTTAATGTAGTGATAGCTTTCTTGTTCTTTTTAGCATGTGTAACTCTTGTGTTGCATCCCTTATGCTCACTGTTTTCAACTTGCTTACAGCACTGTTTAAAAATTCCTTTTGCTGAGGCAGAACTCTTAGTATAAGCTGAATCTGGGTTCTCTTCATACATTTTTTTTCTTGTTTGTTTGTTTTTAGCTTGTTCAAGACCCAAGTCCATTGGGTTATGATGAACAAAGCACAGCTCCAACTCCTGTAGCTCCATCACTTGCTGATGTCCTCTGGGTAGCAAATGATGAAGGACAAGCATTTACCAGACTTAGGTAAGTAAAAGTGGAATATATGCATAAAAAGGAGTAGTGAAAGTAACTTATGTCTTCTCTTCTTTGTGGTGTGTGGTTTTGTGTTTTGTTGTTTTGGTGGTTTTTTTTTTTTGGTTTGGTTTGGTTTGGTTGTTTTTCTTTTTTCCTAGCCCCTTCAGGCTTCCAGCTAAACCAACCCTGGAAACTTTTTGGTTTTTTAGGGGGGCAATTTCTGCTTACCTGGAAATTCTTACTATGTAGAGTATTCTTATCTGAAAGGTTTCTGAAATTTGAGTCCCCTCTTTTCTCTTCCTGATAGCTTGTCAGGTGCATTACTGGTATTTTAATTTGTTTTCACTCAAAGTATTTTGTGAGAGAGGGAGTTTAAGGGAAACTTGCATATTGCAACATATGAGAAGATTATTCTTATCATTTTAGTTTACAAGCATTTTGATAAACATTATAAATGGGAGAACAAGAAAAAATATTTAAATGTCTCCTTTTTGACGTTTACTACAGTGCTATGTGTATAAACCTTGATGGTTGCTTTGATGGAAACAAAAACATAATTTCCTTATTTTAAAAATTTACCTTTAATATAGTTTATGTAATTCTTTTTAACTTTTATAGGGTGCTAAAGGAAAGTATTTTTACAATTATAAAATATTACAAGTACTGTGAAATGGCAAATTATCCAGGAATTTGCAGACACAAATAGTATACAAGTCTCCTCTTCTCCTCCCGCCGCTAGAGAAGAAATAGAAAGTGGGCTTACTGTTCCTCTAAAGGATCTGTTCAAAATCAGAGGATGAGTCACAACCAGAACCAAGATTAAAATTTGGACACTTGTATTGTCTTGTACTACATCTGTATCAGGCAATGTAATTCTACTTCATATTGGCATGTGTTTGTCTGTGATCTTTGTGCTGCTTGCTGGTAATGAAACTACAAGAAACTGATGAAATGACACACTTTTTATTAGAGAAGTTTTGATAAAGTTGTGTTTCACCTTATGATTCCTGAGATGTTACTGTTGAATTATGGAAGTTTTTTTTGTAGCAGCTCTTACTGGTTCCAGTAAAATACTGGAAAAGTAAGATTATTGTTAAAAGGAACTGTGGCCTGTTTTGTCTTGCTTGTGCTATTCTTTAGCCGGTCTGATTCACAGATCCATGAAAGTTCATTCTTTTGTTGTTTCCATTCTTTCTTCCTCCTCCTCCTCCTCCTCTCCTGGCTCTGTGGGATGTTTTTCAAGAACAAGTATTCAAATTGATATCTTGTCCTTCTGAGCCAGTGTGAAGAGCAAAGGTTTTTGGCAAATCAGAAAGCAATGCTGCAGGTCTGGTTTGAAGTAAAAGGATGATTAATATAAAGGGAAAGGTCTGGTTTTGTTTCAATCAAAACTTAGTGCATCTTGAATAAATAAAGTGAATTTAATTTCTTTCTTTGTTTCATAATGGAATTCTGGTAGTTTGAGTTTACACTCATTGTATATTTTAAGGTTATTTGTGCAGGCACAGACTTGAAACAATTTTAAAAATTAAAACCTGAGACCTCTAGCACAACTTTCTAATTCAGTCTGTGTTCATATGTAGCTTACAGAAGGTGAGTTGCTTATTCTGTGTGTATTAAAATTCATTATTATTTTCCAATATATTTTCTGAAAGATTGCAACTTTTTTGCTGCTTACAGTGCTCATCTTGCAGAGTTTGATAAATGACTAAAATGCGTGAAGCCTAATTAAAAGATGATTATTATTTGACTTTCCCTGCCTTTCATATCTACTGTTTCAGGTAGGGAGGAGGGAGAGGCACCTTTATGGTGTCAGTCTAATAGTTATTGAATAATAACAGCTCAATCCTACATTATGACCTTATGATGTATAATCTATCCCCGAGTAAATTATCTGACTATTTTTTATGATGACTTTTCAAGGTTCTGCATCATACTTGAGCAAAGGGAGACTTAAAATATTTTTAAGGTTATGAGTGGTTATAAGTTTAAAGTTTTCTTAAATAGTTTGCCAATTTATGTCCTACTGAATGATGATAACTTGGAACAGACAGTGAGTAAGTTTTGAGATTTCCATTGCTGGCTGAGCATTTTGAAACGGTGTCTTTTGTTGCTTTCTAGGACTGAATTATGGAGAAAAGAAAAAACTACAGCTTATCGTGACCTACATCCATCTACAGATTCAATACAAGGTGTTCCAAAAAACAGCACACAAAAAGACAGTCTTGTTGATAAAGCAGCACTCCAGAAAATTTCTGCACTCGAAGATGAGCTAACCTTTCTTCGTGCTCAGATTGCTGCGATTGTTTCAGCGCAGACATTGGGAGCCGTTCCGCCACGTAAGCCCTTCCGGTTTGAAGCAAACTGGTTTTCCTTTTTTTTTTTGCTTTAGAGTTTCTGTTCACAGCTTGCCATGTTTGATACTGATAAAGAACATCTCTAACTTCTGTAACTGAAGTTACACCAACAAAATTTATGGAGTATAGTATTTTGTTTCTCTTTTCAGTATTTGGTGCCACCAACATCCCCCTCCTCACCCTCCCCCCCCTGGCTCTTTTTCATGGCCTGCTTGCCAATTTTGAATGCAGTTGATCCTAACTGAGCTTTATACTCATTTCAGTGTTTGTGAAGGAGCTTAGTAACAACACTATCCATAGGATACCAATTACTGCTTAAAAAGTTACAGACTATTAATTATCCCTTCTGTTTTTTGTACTGTTTCTGACAAGTTATCAAAATAATGGATTAAAAAAAATATTCTAAGGAAGTCAGGTTCAGGCTTTAACAAAAACAAATGCTGCAATTGATGTGTCCAACAGCCACTATAATATCAAAGATTGAAGTTCATATTGGAGACCAACTATCTTGTGATTTTTTTTTTTTTTATTCCCTCCCCCCCCAAAAAAAAAGAAAAAAAAAAAAAGGTGTTGAGGTCCTGATTGTCTTACTTGCACTGTGATTGTTGAAACATTTGAACTTGTGTGAGGGAGTTACATTTGTGTGCATTGTTCCAAGTGAACTTAAACAGTAATTCAGGCACCTCTGTGCTTCATTTAGGTGTTCTGTTGGTTCTTATTTTGTCTCTTCTCCATTGTACTTAGTATTGTAGTCTGTTTTACATGTTTTATGGTTATCTTTGCTTTTGCTTCATGTGGGATATTCTAACATTCAGATCCTTGAGGACTGTTGTGGTTTAACCCCAGCCGGCAACTAAGCACCACACAGCCACTTGCTCACTCCCCCCTGGTGGGATGGGGGAGA